AAAAAAAAAAAAAAAAATGCAAAATATTATAATCTTTTTGCAATCTTAAAGTCCAATGTGAATATATATATAGTTATATGAAAACCCCACATCATGGCATAAAAGCAATGGACTTATTACGTAGTATTGGTGAATTGGAAGTCAAGCAGCGGACCTATGGTTGTCATATATTTTTAAACAAAAATGTTTATTTGGAGTTTGGACTGATAAATGTGATAATTTTTATTTTTATTTTTTTTTTATTTTTTTGTAAATAACAATATTCTTTTTTACGTGATGCGTGACGCCTAGGTAGGCGTGTTCTCGGCCGTGAGACTTCGGGCGCAACTTGCGTCCAAAGACTCGATGGTTCGCGGGATTCTGCAATTCACACCAAGTATCGCATTTCGCTACGTTCTTCATCGATGCGAGAGCTAATATTAATAATAATAACATATAATGTTCATCTTGTAAAGATAAAATTTATGGGCCATTGAAATTATGTAAAATTCTTGGACCGTTGAAACTTTCGGTATCTAAAAGTAGGAAACAAAAACAAAGAAATTTTGTACAGTAGGAAAAAAAACAACGAAATTTTGTACAGATATTCGCTAAGGAACCGGTCAAGCTTTGTGGGTGGCCACGGTTCACGGGAACCATGTATGTAGGACGTGTAAATAATAATAATAATATAATAATAATAATAATAATAATAGATACTGATTATTTAGTTGGTTTAGTCAAAGACACAAGTGTAATATTCTTTTACAATGAATAATTATGTTTGATTTAATTTTGGAACCCATGAACGTCAATTTCACAATAAATTTGAAGTTGAAAATGTCAATTTCATCATGAACCGTCATATTAAAAGGCTAATATCAAGATTTATTAGTGTGATTGTATAAAAATATATTCGCTCAAAATAAGTTTTTTGGTTAACTTGAGTTAATCATGAATTAGTTGTCAGTGAAATTTTGAGGTTGTATTAATATATGAAAGAGATGATGTAAAGTGATGATTAATTAAACTTGTATAAATTCATAAATAGTGGATAAAAATTGACGTGAGATATAAAAATTATTGTATGATATTATTTAATTATAATAAGAATATTGAAAATAATAGAGTTAGGTTAAAATTTAATTAAATTTTGAGTATGAATTGGATAATTTATAAACAAACACAACCTAAAACATAAATAGAGTTATCCTAATATCATCTTCAGTTATCTACTTTACTCAAGTGTACTCTAGAGTATATTAGTTATGTTTGGTAGACAAATAAGTTAACTATAACTTATTTGGTTAGCTTATAAGTTTTTTGTATATAAATAACCTGCATTTGGTAGGACGATTTTTTTATTTTTAAAGAAACTCGAGCTTATCTCATAAGTTTCTTTAGGTATCTTTTCAAATAAGTTCGTTGAAATTTTTATTTGAGCTTATCAATTAATTTTACCAAATACTTTTAATTATCATATAAGCTAGCTTTTCAGCTATAAGTTCGAAAATTACTAATAAGATATAAGCTAGCTTATCAGCTATCAGCTAGCTAGCTTCTCAGTTAGTTTTACCAAACATAAAATAAGCCAAGAAATTTTGCATTTCATTTTACTCTACATAAAATATACTAATACGACATAAAATTTAATACAACTACTAAAATCAAAATTTAAAATTAGTGCAAGAATGTAGTGTAATATTGAAACAAAGTTTTTCGCACAATTTTGCGTTCTGGAGCAGAATTGGAGAAACACTAACATAATGCTGTTATATTTATTTTTTCATATGATATTGTGTATATATAGGTAAGGATAGATAGGGATAGATCGTAGTACGTAGGTATGACATATTATATTATAACCACAGTGGGGCACTTCCACATGTATGATGAAATTTTTTCAACATTATATATATTATATAATACATAGTACATATTATTATTAAATAAAACAATAAACATATAATTATTTCATATTAAGACGTCCAATAATTCGATTATTTTTTTAACTACGAGCGATATTATCTCTAGCTATCTGCGCCTATATATACATTAATAAATGTATATTTCCATGTCGTCAGGTCCAATTGACGAAAAAAGAGAGAGAGAGAGAGAGAGGGGAAGCCCATATGACTGCAACGCGAGATATTTATTGAAAAATTCGATAACAGAAAACGACAAGTTATACACGAAAAATCCCCAAAGGGGGAAAAATTATCGCCCAATCCATGGATATCCAAACCACCGCCTCCTCCTCCTCCGCCGCGAGGAGGGCCTTTCTGTTCATCAACGCCGTCATCCTCGGCATCGGCAACTGCGGCGGCCCCCTTATCATGCGCCTCTACTTTCTACACGGCGGCAAGCGGATCTGGTTCTCCAGCTTTCTCGAGACCGCCGGGTGGCCGGTCATGCTCGCCCCCCTCGCCGCCTCCTACGCCCGCCGCCGCCGCGAGTCCGCCGCGGCGCCGCTGGTACTCATGGGAACGCGCGTGTTCCTCGCGGCGGCGGCGATTGGGATCCTGACCGGCCTCGACGACTACCTGTACGCGTGCGGCGTGGCGCGGCTGCCGGTGTCGACCTCGTCCCTCATTATCGCGGCGCAGCTGGCGTTCACGGCGGTGTTCGCGTTCTTCCTCGTTGGGCAGCGGTTCACGGCGTACTCTGTGAACTCGGTGGTGCTGCTGACGACGGGAGCGGCGGTGCTGGGGTTGCACGCGAGCGGCGACCGGCCGGCGGGGGAGACAGCGCGGGAGTACTGGATTGGGTTCGCGATGACGATGGGGGCGGCGCTGCTGTACGGGATGGTGCTGCCGCTGATCGAGCTGACGTACAAGAAGGCCAGGCAGGCGGTGACCTTCACGCTGGCGCTGGAGATCCAGCTCGTCATGTGCTTTTTCGCCACCGCCTTTTGCACGGTGGGGATGGTTATCAACAACGATTTTCAGGTGAACATTTTTTCTTGTTATAATTATTACTATTTGATTAATGATTTACTGTTATTTTTATTAGCTCCAAATATGCAATTGGATCGGTGTTGGATTAATTTTGAAAGAAAAAAAAAAAAATTGAAAAAATTGGATTTTATGAGTGTTGGAACAATGAATAAAAGGAGGATATAGCAGTGTTAAAACTCTTGAGGGATTGAGGGAGAGCTTGGCCGCTCTTGTAGTCCTACTCGGCTCGATTCCAAATTAATCGGTTCTCCTGTGAATTCAGAAACTAGAAGTCCTGTAACCAAAAAAAAA